AAAAAAAAAAAAAATACAATACACCGAATAAATGCATATTTATCTTGGCCAACTTAAGATTTTTTTACCAGATGATCGGCTCATTAAAACCAAACTGAGCCATGAAAAGCCAGTACAAGCAAATTAAATGCTACGTTCCTTTTTACCAGTTATAAAAGCCCTAACAGCCCTTCTCATTTTTGCACCAAACCCATAACACTCATTCAAGAAAACAAAATATTAGATAAACTATTTAACTGAAAAAAAAAAAAAAATGTCTCCATTCAAATTTCTCACGGTCTTCATTATCGTCGCCCTTTCATTTCCCGGCCCCAAACACAAGGCCATAGCAGGCGGCACCAGCCGCCGGCTTCTGACTTCAGCTATCCCTCAAATTCCAGGGATGCCGAACTTTGGAATTCCGGGCGGCATTCCCAATTATCCCGGATTTCCGGGCGGCTCCCCCAACTACGGAGACCCAAGGGACTTCCCGGGAATTCCCACAGGCGGCATACCGAATTTCCCTGGATACCCGGGAAGCGTGCCGAATTTCCCGGGGTTTACTTACCCTGGGAATTTTCCGGGCGGGCAGCCGAATGATCCAAATGCACCTATCTTGCCTCCCCCAGAAATTACTAAAACAAGCCCTTGAAGAAAAGTTAGCATTATGCATGCGTGAGGATTTTAAGGATACGAGAATGGATGGCTCTGTATTTCGGAATCATAACTTTTTCTAATTTGCAATATGTGTCTTGAATAGATGATTTTCTTTAATATTCCTTGGTTTAGAAATAAGCATGCCATGTTTATCTATGGTTACTGTATTCGAATAATTTAAGGATTGTTTGTTGCTCTTTGGTGATATATATAGAAAGCTGTGAATTGTGCTATAATCACAATGAAGAAGATGATGTATTTGTACAGTAGTATGCTCTTAGCTGAGCTAGCCGAGCTTTGAGCTGGCTCTAGCTAATAATTGCCTAACTAATTAATTGCATGAGTTAATAACTAACTGAATTAACTAATGTAACTAGGCTAACTAAGCTGACTGATTTAGCTATTGCCTAATACACCTCTTTGAAACCAAGCCAGGGACTGAGGGGCATTTGGAAGGTATATGGCTTATTTCAACGTCCATATAACAACTGATAGCGGGAGCGTAAACGGATGGAATAATCGGGAGAAAACTTTCAGTATATTTTGATTCAAATAAACTATCCTTCAAGTAAGAGTCTTCAATAGATCTCCTAAAACCCTAATGAAATAACTTAGCTATCAAGAAAACGACTGGGATAAATATATATCTTTCTTATAATTAAATAACTTTCCTACCAAGTAAAATTCTAAAATAATTAAATATCTTAAATAACAATAAAATAAATGGAACAAATAAACTAGTGATGTCTAATGGTCATGCTTGTCCATAAAAGTTAACGCAATCTCGCTTGCATCATTCTCTCTCTCATGAAAAGATTCACTCTCGATTCTGGCACAATCGCGACACATCCTCACAAAGTTGTCAACCACCATCCACGTCGCTGTCCCAATGGGCAAAACTTCTCCGTTTGAGCAGCATACATCATAGTGCCGATATATAAATTCGTCATAAAAAATAGGCAGACTGATAGAAACGGAGCATGTCATGGGCAAAAATCATGGATTGTTTATAGTCGCAGGCCAAATCCAAGGAACCAATCAGATTTAAAATGAAGGGGCTGATTTTATGGATCTAAATAGCACTAATCATGGAAGAGAATCTTACCTAATATATAGTAGTATAGCTAATTATAAATAAAGCCTCCTTAGATGAGGAAGGCATCAGAAATCATAATTCCTATGTTAGTACCTTGGGACAGGGAGTTTATTTCTGTTGGTATTTTCCCTAGTTTTCTTTCTTCCTGTTGATCATATTGCAAAGTATCCATTTAGTTAATAATAAAACTCTTCCCTTTGTTACTTGGTTCTTTTCTCTAATAAATTGGTCCGACCTGTCGTGCGAGGTATGACACGAATGGAGTCCCGTGTTGAATCGTTGGAGAAGAGCCAAGTTGCTGTAAGCGAGGAACTCACCACCCTGCGGAACAACATGGACAGCCGATTTAATACACTTGAAACGGCAATAGCCAAGATCACCGATCTATTGGATAATAACAGTAGCAACAACAACTTTTCAGAGAACATCTTTTCAGAGAGCAATACATCCAACCACCACAAATCTGCACTTCATGCCAATGTTTTCGACGAGTTAAAATCCACATCGAAGCACATTGATCTTCCGTGTTTTGATGGAACCGATCCTATTGGATGGATTGCGCGTGCTGAGCAATTTTTTCTTGTACACCACACGAAGGAAAACTTCAAAGTTGCCTCCGCATTCATCTGCATGGAAGGAGCAGCACTCCATTGGCTTCGATGGCTCAAGCAACAATCTCCAATGATTACCTGGGATCAATTGAAGGAAAAACTCGTTGCCCAATTCGGCGGGGACTTAGCAGCAAATCCTAGCGAACGCTTGGCTGCCTTACACCAAACAGGATCTCTGGATGATTACGCCAATGAATTTCGAGCGAGAGCAGCCCAAGTCCCAAGCCTGGATTCACAACTTCAGCTAGGGTTTTTCTTAAATGGACTCAAGGAAGAAATATGTAACACCCCAGACAAATATTATATTAGTAGCTCGACTTATTTATCGGATTTAGTATTATTTTAATTATGCGGAGAATTATTAATACTAAATTGCATAATTTATTTATTATTTAGCCCAAGTAGTATTTTAAATAATCGAGCCTAGTAGCAATTATATTACCGAGCCCGACCTTATTTATTCGGTCCATTTATCGGTATTTATTTTCCTAACTCGAGCCCGTTTTTATAAGCCCAAGAGCAAGCCCAATTAGTGCAAGAAACCCTAGTCTTCTCCCCTTCTATAAATAGAACCCCTTAGCTCACTATTGGCCACAAAAGCAAAACCTTATCCCCTTTCACTATTCATCCTTCTTCTCAAAGCCACCCTCACCAAAGCTGCCACGAGCTCCTCCTTCACAGCACCATTTTCCGCCGGCGACCTCCCCAAATTTCCGGCTAAAATCTGCAGCTCACCCGCAGCTCCTCCAGCTCCAGTTTTTCCGACCAAAACCCGCGGCTCCTTCAGCTCCGCCGCGTTCAGTTTTTCCGGCGCGTCCACGAGCCTTGCGATGACCAGACCCGACGAGCCACCAGCAGTTCATCCCAGCTCCACGACCCCGACGAGCAGACCCTCCTCAGCTCAGTCCCGGCGAGGCCCAGATCCGGCGACCCGCGACCCGCGACCGAGCAGTTTCAGACCCGCAGCTCACGACCGTCCTCAAGCTCGCACCGGCTCTCAGTTCACGCCCCGTACAGATCCACCACGGACCAGTCCGCAGCTCACCACCATCCTCTCCCAGCTCCGACGACGTCCCCGACGAGCAGATCTCCTCCACGCGAACCAGCCATCTCCGGCGACTTCTGCCGGCAAGTAACTCGTCTCCTGTCGCGCGGGTCCAGCAGTGAACAAGCCACGATGAGCCCAGCAGCACTCTCGGCCATTCCTAGCTCACCCGTGCGCCCGAGCTCGGATTTTTGCACCGGACCCGACCCGAGTGGTCAAAACCACCCGGACAGCACCCCAACTCCTCAGATCCGTGACTCTCGGCCCATAAACCGAGCCCATAGCCTAGATCGAGTACACCCGAGCACAACCGGGTCGTGTCCTAGCCATTTTGATTTTTTCGACTTCCGATTTGACCCTTCGAGAGGTATATCGGCTTAAACCTTACTCCATGAGCTTAATCGAGAATTTAGATGAATTTTAAAATTTACGGGAGGTGATTTCGAGCATTATAAGATTTATGGTGAATTTATCGGCTTAAATAACATTAAATTCCGTAAATATTGGTTGCTGCCCGGAAAAATGCGAAACTAGCGTGATAAAATTCGTATAGCTGACTTGAGGCCTAGGTTTTAATTTCGTAAATTTTGGTGCTCGTTTAGTATGTTAACTGGATTTTTGAATATGTAGCTGAAATGCCCGATTTTTGATAAATATGTTAAGACCTCGGAATTTGATGAAACTTTCACGAAAAATCCTATAAATGCTAAATATGTCGTGGTTTAAATTTCATAATTTTTAGAGGTTGTTTAACATGCCTACAAATTCGAGACTTTAGCTGTTTTGGTGAAAACCCTAGATTTTATCCAGTTGAGACTTAGCTAAAATTACTAGAAATCGAGTTGAACTTAAAGTTTGAGTTTTTGACTTGAACCGAGATAGATAGCCGGGTGAGAAGAGAACCCTAGTTTGGCCTTTTTCGGTCAGTCCGGATGAACTCTAGATCCGGATAGAAAAGTTGTGCGTCGACTGATTCGTGTCCGTGCGTATGCACCCGGACCATGATTAAGTCGGGTCGCACCCAGTCAGATAAATAAGATCAGATCAGTCAGATAAGTTAGATCAGATAAATCACATAAGCAGACCAGACTTAGAAATATTTCAGAGAACTCTAGAATGCCTCAAAGTCAGCAAATCTTTTCAGAATAGCTCAAAGCATCTAAATCCAGATTAAATAATATTTTAATCAAGCGAGAGAACCGAGTAAGATTTATTAATAATAAGAATCAAGTTTTCATTTGAGCTTGGTACTTAGTACATTTTGCTCAAATATTTATGTAGCTTAAGGAGAGTCGAGCCTCCGACAGCTACCAGTCAGTCAGCACTTGCCTAGCAGTAGCAGTTTATCAGGTGGGGGTCACGTACTGGTTATACATCATCTTTAATTTCCGTACCATGTCCGAGGTATGTATGAGAAATAGTTAGTTCACCATGAGGGAGGCCGTGGCGGGCCTTAATGATCCCCCGTGGTTCTGAGGGAGGCCTTAATTGGCCTTAATGATCCCCCGGAGTGTGCACATGATTGGCTTTTAAGCCCCAGGGTCTTTATGACCACCAGATGCCCCAGTTACAGTTTCAGTTCAGATCAGTTCTTATATACTTAAAGTCATGATATTGTTATTAACGATGTTACATAATTAAGTACTGGTCTTTGCGGAGCATAGTGGTTTTGCTCACGCCCCCACTACGTTTTTCAGGTGACGGAGCGGCGCGTGGCGCGTGAGTTTTCAGTGGTGGTCGTGGTCATTAGCAGTCTTTTTGTAACGCATCTGCATGTCATTTATTGAACATGTATTATTATTACTATGCGTAGACATATATTATGTTTCAGCTTCCGCACATTTCAGACTTAGTATGTATTATGAGATTATCAGACTTATGCATGTATAATGCCTTTATCTCCGTGGTACCTTTATATAACGGATTTGATTAGGTTGCATGTATTTATTTACGTCTGCATGAGAAAGAGTTTAAGTTAGTAGCATCCCGCAAGTTAGTATGAGTATTTTCGAAAATAAAGTTTAAGAGTTTTTTGAAAATAAAAAGCAAAAATTTTACTCTGATTTTATAAATTCTAGAAATAATTAGGCGGGGTGTTACAGTTGGTATCAGAGCCACTTAGTGGTTCTGTATACTTGAAAGAGTTTAAGAAAAGCATGACCACGCCACGCTCACGTCGCGCCGACTCCGAGGTAAGTCACCTAAGTTATAAATTTCTGCAAGTGCATGAGAATATAGCATGAGATCTTAGGGGCCTAGCATCTATCCTCCGAATAGAAAGAGAACTCTAGACAGAATTTTAGAAAAAATTAGCTAAGTCCAACTCTAGACTATATCAGAACTCTAGCCCGAAATCAGTAGAGTTAAGTATAAACCGGAACTCTAGCCAAGCTAGGTGTTTTCGGAAATTTGTTGAAAATTCGCAAAGTATAGTATAGCTATTTTTTAATCGCTATACGGTATTAGTTCAATAGTTAGTGGCTTTCCAGAAAGCCACCACGCAGAACTCTAAACCCACCGGCGGAGCGGGAACATACCATAGTCGTAGGCCAATTACTGAGATTGGTGGAACGACTACTGGCGTTTGGGGAAGGAAGAACATTATGAGATGACATGAGAGTGGGCTCACGTAGATTCTGGAAGTCAAATTTTACCACGCCATTTTTGCGAGAGAATGGAACAAGAGTTATATGCCCTTCAGTAAGGGGGCAGCTCGGCAGAGGAGTACGAGTGCGACTTCGCTCGTAAGAGCGTGTTTGCTCGTCACCTCATAGACACCAAAGAGAAGAAGACAGTCATTATCGGAACGAGGAGAGACATTCTGATTCTAGTGGCCAACCATGGCTATGAAAAGCAAGTTGTAGCTATAAATCAGCATTTTCGAAGGTTAGATAACAGACATTACGGACAAGCGTGATTGTTGTACGTACAGTTATAACGGGGATTGTGCGACGAGTCACATTGATAATAAATGAAGAGATAGAGAGAAAAAGAGATAGAGAGAGAGAGAGAGAGAGAGAGAGAGAGAAACCGCTCGAGATTTCTTAACGAATTAGTGTTGGAAATGTTAAAAGAAGAATAAGTCGATAGATATCAGTACATAGGTAAGACAGTGGACTTTTCATTGCCTGAACTATGTACGCTTGAGTAAAGTTCTAACTCTAGAGATTGCCTCACTTAAAACTGGCAAGATGCCTTCAAGCAAGTATAAGAAGCGAGGGTTTCAGTGTATAAGAGTCGTAGGTCCGGGTAAGAACCATGGAGGCTTTAAGCTGAACCATAGTAGAAATGTTCCCGTATGAGGTAATCTCTAGTAGTCAAAGAAGGAGAAGATCAAGTTTAACAGAACAAGAGCAAGGATCGCATGTTAAGTCACAATTTGACACCACGATGACTTACTCGTCGTCTCGAAAAAGAAGCCATCACCCACGGAAGATTCTGATAGTATAAAAATGCACAAACAATAGTCCGTAGCAGCCACCAGTAGATCCAACAAAAGCCAAGTGGGAGATCGCAACAACCATAATTCAAGAAGAAGAACCAACCCCGCGCAGGGGAAAGTTGAAGACAGTCTGTTTAGGAAGACGAAGACCTATAAATTACGCGTTCATATACCGACAGAGAAAGTTTTAAAAGTCGTGATTAGAGAACATGTCACTATCAACGCTCGGAGAGTTAACCGTTGTTCGCAATCGTGTGACATATTTTCATAAATATTATGAGGAAGACCACTTGACCGAAAGGTGGAAGTCAATTGACCAAGTGCCAGAATAGGACCAATGTTAGCAGAGCCAAACGCATGAGACGTCAAAAGGCTACGAGAGCTGAAGACTCAAATCCGAATTGGGAATTGTTGGGCCAAGCACGTCACTTTATAGTGCGCCCGACGGTTCATAAAGAAAGGAAGATGTGCATCCATTACCGAAAGCTAAGTAGACTCAAGGAGGAGAGTAAGTATTCACCTTCGAGAGCCGAAAAATTGTTGACCCCATGAGGGAAAACCGCAAGTTCCAACATTTATTTGAAGCTCGGACATCCTCCACCAGAAGTCGAGGGACCCGATGCCTCAAGATCAGAAAGCACGTGAAAGTTGCGGTGATGAAATCATCTCTAAGTATTGGTGGTGTTTCGACATCACTAGTTTTAGATTAGGCCTTGAGAAAAAGAAAGTATGAAAGAACAGATAAATAGTAAGCGTAAAGATAACTTGAGAGAGTTGTCTAGCGAGCAAAGTAGAAGGATCCTCAACAACATGGAACAGTATTCCAACATTAAGCTGAGACATAATGTAAAGAAGAGCAACCGTGGTAAAAGAAATAGAGAACAGAGAAGCCTTAATAGTAAGATTTTAGTACCCTTGGGTAAAGTTTACCCATTTAAGCATTGAGACACTCAGATTGTACTAAGAAGCAGATAGATCTGAGCACAATGCGTGCATTAGCACGTATCCAGAGCCCATACTGATGTTCCACACACTTGTCCCACTTTCGCCCTATCATTGGGGCAAAGCCACCGAGTGCATGCCCGTGCACCGAGTCCGATCGAGCCGCGCCCCTGCGCTCTGCCCAACGCCCATGCGTCCGTCAATCCTACCAGTCAACGCACCGATTCCGTTAGCCGCGGCCCAAGCACGCCCCTGCGTCAGCGGCCGTGGCACCATTCAAAGTTGTACGTCGCAGTACAATAAGGCTACTAACGTAAGACGTGGACGCGACCTTGTTGTGATTGCAGACGACTCTGACACTGCAAGTACATCGCACGTAGGTACCGCATGCAGGTATTCTGCGCCCGTGGGCCTCGGGTAGTGGGTAAACCGCATGTGGCATACCGCACGCAATGTGCCGCCTCGTCAGGAGCCGAGTCACGATGAGTCGAACCACAATTGTTAGTTGTCCTCATCAGTTTTACAGATCGATGTATAATTAAGAAAGAGGATCAGAACGCTTAAAGGCTTGCGTTCTGAATGACAGACCCGTATAGAAGTACAATTTGCCACTAAAGCAATTAATAGAAGAATAGAATAGACATGACATCATACGTTTTAGTACGGACATGAGTGTGGATCGCTGACATACGAGAAAGAGATAGCGAGAGAATGTTTTTCGGTCAATGGCAGGCCGACAGACAAGGGAGTAGAAATCAGTGATCCACACAAAGATTTATACAACCTTGAAGCGACGAAAGTCGGGTATATGCTAGCCACAGAAAGACTTGTAGACTAGTGTGTACGGTAAGATGACCTGAGGGTCACAACTGCAAAAAAAAAAACTACAACATAGTTACCCCATCCATTTCCATCTTATAGTCGAGATGGTGAGCTAAGCCTAACGTTTGGGGCTTTGTCGTCGAAATTTTCGGGAAATGTTTAGCGATTTCTCCACACCTCGAGTTTGAGGAGTTGTACTCGAGCTCGAACACGTGGGAAACTTAAATGAGTCTCACGTTGATCCGTGTTGACACGTGAGGTAGTACCTACGGCCACCTTGTGGCGGAAGGTACGCTAGTTAGAGAGCCGAGAAGTAGGCCTCTTTAAGTCCATGAGTGTCGCCATAGCTAGAGCGATGCCACTAAAAGAATAGATGAGCTTCTTTTAAAGTTTCTAAGTATAGTTTCTAAAAGTTTTGTATTGGATTTTATCTAAGACAAGTAGTGAATTTTGGTGAACCGCCATGGCGAACCAGTATCAGTGAGACAGGTTTTATGATCGGAGCAGACCTATACAGTATCCAGATAGGAACACTCAGTTCTCGAACTTGAGATAACGGTGTATAATAGTCAAAAGTCTGGTAAATTATGGAGGCTTGAAATAAGAGTCACTAGTCCGGATTTACCTGGGGGCTTGAAACCGGAGTTGCCATGGCAAAGCCAAGATCATTAGTAAGAAGAAGACTGAAGTCAAAGCTCGCTATCAAGATTTTCAGTTCTGATTAGTAGTATCGTATTATGTATTTTCAGTTTCTAGTTTTAGTCGAGTTGGCCTTATGATTAGTTTTGTCATTTCCGGGGACGGAAATGTTTTAAGGAGGATAGATTGTAACACCCCGGACAAATATTATATTAGTAGCTCGACTTATTTATCGGATTTAGTATTATTTTAATTATGCGGAGAATTATTAATACTAAATTGCATAATTTATTTATTATTAAGCCCAAGTAGTATTTTAAATAATCGAGCCTAGTAGCAATTATATTACCGAGCCCGACCTTATTTATTCGGTCCATTTATCGGTATTTATTTTCCTAACTCGAGCCCGTTTTTATAAGCCCAAGAGCAAGCCCAATTAGTGCAAGAAACCCTAGTCTTCTCCCCTTCTATAAATAGAACCCCTTAGCTCACTATTGGCCACAAAAGCAAAACCTTATCCCCTTTCACTATTCATCCTTCTTCTCAAAGCCACCCTCACCAAAGCTGCCACGAGCTCCTCCTTCACAGCACCATTTTCCGCCGGCGACCTCCCCAAATTTCCGGCTAAAATCTGCAGCTCACCCGCAGCTCCTCCAGCTCCAGTTTTTCCGACCAAAACCCGCGGCTCCTTCAGCTCCGCCGCGTTCAGTTTTTCCGGCGCGTCCACGAGCCTTGCGATGACCAGACCCGACGAGCCACCAGTAGTTCATCCCAGCTCCACGACCCCGACGAGCAGACCCTCCTCAGCTCAGTCCCGGCGAGGCCCAGATCCGGCGACCCGCGACCCGCGACCGAGCAGTTTCAGACCCGCACCTCACGACCGTCCTCAAGCTCGCACCGGCTCTCAGTTCACGCCCCGTACAGATCCACCACGGACCAGTCCGCAGCTCACCACCATCCTCTCCCAGCTCCGACGACGTCCCCGACGAGCAGATCTCCTCCACGCGAACCAGCCATCTCCGGCGACTTCTGCCGGCAAGTAACTCGTCTCCTGTCGCGCGGGTCCAGCAGTGAACAAGCCACGATGAGCCCAGCAGCACTCTCGGCCATTCCTAGCTCACCCGTGCGCCCGAGCTCGGATTTTTGCACCGGACCCGACCCGAGTGGTCAAAACCACCCAGACAGCACCCCAACTCCTCAGATCCGTGACTCTCGGCCCATAAACCGAGCCCATAGCCTAGATCCGAGTACACCCGAGCACAACCGGGTCGTGTCCTAGCCATTTTGATTTTTCCGACTTCCGATTTGACCCTTCGAGAGGTATATCGGCTTAAACCTTACTCCATGAGCTTAATCGAGAATTTAGATGAATTTTAAAATTTACGGGAGGTGATTTCGAGCATTATAAGATTTATGGTGAATTTATCGGCTTAAATAACATTAAATTCCGTAAATATTGGTTGCTGCCCGGAAAAATGCGAAACTAGCGTGATAAAATTCGTATAGCTGACTTGAGGCCTAGGTTTTAATTTCGTAAATTTTGGTGCTCGTTTAGTATGTTAACTGGATTTTTGAATATGTAGCTGAAATGCCCGATTTTTGATAAATATGTTAAGACCTCGGAATTTGATGAAACTTTCACGAAAAATCCTATAAATGCTAAATATGTCGTGGTTTAAATTTCATAATTTTTAGAGGTTGTTTGGCATGCCTACAAATTCGAGACTTTAGCTGCTTTGGTGAAAACCCTAGATTTTATCCGGTTGAGACTTGGCTAAAATTACTAGAAATCGAGTTGAACTTAAAGTTTGAGTTTTTGACTTGAACCGAGATAGATAGCCGGGTGAGAAGAGAACCCTAGTTTGGCCTTTTTCGGTCAGTCCGGATGAACTCTAGATCCGGATAGAAAAGTTGTGCGTCGACTGATGTCGTGTCCGTGCGTATGCACCCGGACCATGATTAAGTCGGGTCGCACCCAGTCAGATAAATGAGATCAGATCAGTCAGATAAGTTAGATCAGATAAATCAGATAAGCAGACCAGACTTAGAAATATTTCAGAGAACTCTAGAATGCCTCAAAGTCAGCAAATCTTTTCAGAATAGCTCAAAGCATCTAAATCCAGATTAAATAATATTTTAATCAAGCGAGAGAACCGAGTAAGATTTATTAATAATCAGAATCAAGTTTTTATTTGAGCTTGGTACTTAGTACATTTTGCTCAAATATTTATGTAGCTTAAGGAGAGTCGAGCCTCCGACAGCTACCAGTCAGTCAGCACTTGCCTAGCAGTAGCAGTTTATCAGGTGGGGGTCACGTACTGGTTATACATCATCTTTAATTTCTGTACCATGTCCGAGGTATGTATGAGAAATAGTTAGTTCACCATGAGGGAGGCCGTGGCGGGCCTTAATGATCCCCCGTGGTTCTGAGGGAGGCCTTAATTGGCCTTAATGATCCCCCAGAGTGTGCACATGATTGGCTTTTAAGCCCCAAGGTCTTTATGACCACCAGATGCCCCAGTTACAGTTTCAGTTCAGATCAGTTCTTATATACTTAAAGTTATGATATTGTTATTAACGATGTTACATAATTAAGTACTGGTCTTTGCGGAGCATAGTGGTTTTGCTCACGCCCCCACTACGTTTTTCAGGTGACGGAGCGGCGCGTGGCGCGTGAGTTTTCAGTGGTGGTCGTGGTCATTAGCAGTCTTTTAGTAACGCATCTGCATGTCATTTATTGAACATGTATTATTATTACTATGCGTAGACATATATTATGTTTCAGCTTCCGCACATTTCAGACTTAGTATGTATTATGAGATTATCAGACTTATGCATGTATAATGCCTTTATCTCCGTGGTACCTTTATATAACGGATTTGATTAGGTTGCATGTATTTATTTACGTCTGCATGAGAAAGAGTTTAAGTTAGTAGCATCCCGCAAGTTAGTATGAGTATTTTCGGAAATAAAGTTTAAGAGTTTTTCGAAAATAAAAAGAAAAAAATTTACTCTGATTTTATAAATTCTAGAAATAATTAGGCGGGGTGTTACAAAATAAGGGTCCGCTTGCGCCCATATGATGTGCTCGATCTACGAACGACCATGAAAGTTGCTCGGTCTGTTAAACGAGAATTGGATTTCTTAAATTCCAAATCTGGAAGATTTACTACTGGGTATGGTTTAGGCTTCCAACCGAGGCCCATTAATCCTTCTCGTTTTGAACCACCAAAACTAAACAGCACCTTAACAACCGGCCAAAATAAGAATTCTGCAGCCCAGTACAAGCCTAATGATCACTTCAAACTACTTCCAGACGGCACAGGTTCCTCCTCTTCACAACTACCGCGACACAACACAACACATAAACGTAGAGTGGCACTCCAATACTCCCATCAAGAATATTTGGACATGCGTGCGAAGGGTTGTGTTTTCGCTGCAAACAACCTTACAGCCCGATGCATGATTGCCCTCAAAAATCATTACGCGCTCTCATCGCAGCAGAAGACGAGATCATTGATATCATCTCCGACTTTGGACTAGAAGAATCCCAACAACATCAAGCAGAAACCAGTGAAGCTCAGCTCCATTTTCTAGATCTACCTTTGATGGCGATAGGTGGAATAGATGGACCACGGACAATGAAATTTTCAGGTCATGTGTACGGTGAACTAGTGACTATTATGGTAGATAGTGGGGCAAGCCACAACTTCATCTCAACCAAACTTGCTCAGAAAATTCCCCAACCAATGGAGCAGACAGTCCGCTTTGGGGTTCGCTTAGGAGATGGCAGTCGAGCAACTTTAACAGGGAAGTATAGCAATTTACCAATTCAACTTCAATCAATCACGATGTCATTAGATTGCTATATATTTCCTCTTGGAGGTATTGACATCATTCTCGGCGTGGCATGGCTCCAAACATTAGGCGATATCAAAGCGAACTGGACAAAAATGAGTATTGAATTTTTGCGGGATAATGAAGAGATTTGTCTGTTAGGGGACCCATTATTGTCACGTGCCCCTATCTCTTTGAGCTCATTGCAACAGATGGACGATGACATCGATTACTGCCTCTTGCTCTGGCAGATTACATCATCAACAGAAACACGTTTCCCAACAGAGACTTCGGCCCTCAATTCCTCAAGCGCTCAGGTCCAAGAATTGGAACTAATATTGGAGCAATACGGTACAATTTTGAAGAACCCCAAGTGTAACGCCCCGACTGACTAATACACCAGAGTACGCGATTTTTCGCAAATCTTTTGAATAAATAAATAAATAAACTAACTTTTTAATTTGCGAAACTGGTTCGGGGGTTAC